TATTATACTAAAATGTTTTGCACGCCCCCAACTTTTGTATGTGAGAATCTCATTGATTAGACATGATTCGTTTTAATTAATATGCGTGAAACGAGAAGACAAATTAAAATACTCGGTTTCTCCATGCACGCACAAACTTTAAGCAGATTAAACTAATACAAGGTCACACATTATCTATACTATTACATCAACCACCAACAGCATACCTTAAACAATATAGAAAATACTTTTGACTATAAAGATCATCAAACATACTGACATATGTAAATTGGATATAGGACGTTCATCGTTTGTCTATGTCGTTGGAGCTGAAGTTATTTGTTGTAGCTAGTGAGGACACGAGTCCATACCCTTACGTTTTACCAGAGCCAAGAACAGCTCAAGTGGCAAAAACAGTCTCTATGCTTCTTCTGGTGTGGTTGTGCTGGAGACGGAGGTCGAGCTTGAGCGGTGGAGAGCTGGAGCTGACGACTTCTTATTCCGAATTATGTCTTTTTGGATGAGAGAGAGAGAGAGAGCTTTGAGATCTGGAGGCGCTAAAGCTGTTAAAGCGACGACCTCACGTTTTTTTAGCGACGACAGATGGCCTCGTTTACGAAGATATAGACGAATGTGAGAAGAGAGATCATCAGATCATATTTTGGGGGAAAAGATTGTCCGTTTAGTTCGTTTATTCGAATTTTTAATTTGAGTTGAAATGTGATTTTATGTGAAAATTTTTTACTGTAGTAAAAAAATTAGATGTGATTGTTTGTAAAAACTTTTTACCGTAACAAAATTCGAATCAGCGAAATAAATAGAGCCTAAATCCGCATTGATCGGTTTGTTTTGTTTGTTCTTATAAAGCGCAGCGTGTGGAAAAAAACACAATGACAAATGGAGCCCCGTCTCTTAAATTGGTCATATTATTGCTTGTCGATCGGATAGAATCTTCCAAAATAACAAAGGCTGCTTTGGATTTGAGATTAATGACCCGGATTTGTTTTTGTTTTTCCGTTTTAATGAAAGTTTTACTCAAGACAAAACATGATTAATTACCTCCTAGGCGTTGACCATGCATATCCAAGCTTCTCTCTCCCTTTGTTATATATATATATATGGGATATATATGGGTATATATAAATAGGAGTTTCTCTTGAGAAAAATAGAATTACTATAGTTCTTTTTTTCAGTTATTTTTTATCGTTATATTTGTATCATAAATTGTCTGATTTAATATTTTTTTAATTTTATTTTATTTTGATCAAATTTAATAGTCAAAAAACTGATTCTAACGATTTATTAAAGACAATTCATATATATATATATATATATATATATATGAGCATAGGAGGGTACGAATTAATTGGCATTCATGAATCCGCCCGGTGCTACATCATAGACACATTAGGAACGTAGATAATTGTAACCATATACATATAAAATAACAACAACAGAATGCCAATCCTCATGCTTATTAGTAACGTCTATGTTCCTCGGTAATCGAACCCCAAAAATCTATGAACTAACCCATGTTTGATTAACTAAACAGACGAACAACCATACATCTTTTTTAGTACGTTAATATATTATAGATTAAGAGAATATTTGGAAGGAAAATTTGTATCATAATTTAAATTATAATTCGTGACTTATTATAATATTTTTTTTATAAAAAATACACATAAAATAAAAATAATTTTAAATTATAATTTTAAATCTATAAACTAAAATCCCTAAATTTTTTATGTGGGGAAGTGCCAGAAGTCTCTCTTAAAAGCCTCTGTCTGATCTGTAAAGGGTTGAAGTACCCTCCTTTTAAAGATGCTATATAGGTCTTTCATCTTTAGCGACATTGACAATTGACAATCATCGTTAAGTGTTCACGAAAGAGTCCTTTCTTTTACAACAAATACAATCATTAGTTCGGCAAGTCTATATATGCTCACATGACATGGGATGTTTGTCTTTTTATGAGATACTGATCGATTCCAACTTCCTAAATTTATGTGTATATTAAGGTCGTTTATTTTATTAATTTAAATTTAAAATTTAAATTTTATTATAGTAAAAAATTTTAAGAAATAGTCACATTTAATTTTTTTATTACAGTAAAAAGTTCTCACATAAAATTATATTTTAACTCGAATTAAAAACTCGAATTAACGAACTAAACGGACCCTAAGAGTCTGTTTAGTTTATTGATTTGAATTTTTAATTTGAATTTAAATGTAATTTTATATGAGAATTTTTTATTATAGTACAAAAATTAGATGTGACTGTTTTTAAAAATTTTTTACGATAACAAAACCCCAATTCTAAACTCGAATCAATGAAATGAACATGACCTAAATACGCCTTCATGCACGGTGAAATATAGAGACGTTTGGTTCATGAATTAGAATCATGAGATTAGAACCATTTTCGATTTATATGTATTTTTTATGAGAAAAAACATTATAATAAATTATGAATCATAATTTAAATGAGGATATGAATCCTCTTACCAAATACACTCGAGGTACGGAGGTAAAAAAGAAAAGCATTGCATACCGTAAAATTTGCCTGCCCTTAAAATTACTGTTGATCAGCTTTATTATTTCTTTTGTCCATATATATACATCGAACTATAGAAGATAGAAAACGCGAAGAGAGGAAAATAAAGAATCACAAAAATAATCTATTTCTTTCTCCTCTTCCAATTACACTCACTGCTCCTTGGTAAGCTGCTGATCCTAAAAATTACTTTTATTGTTTTTGTCCTTCTAATTTCTTCAAAACCTTTGTTACAAAGCCGTTGTTACGTCTATGTCGTTTGCTTCATTTATCTTTAATGTTATTTATTCATGTCATTCCCTTTTATCTTTTCAGATATTTATGATCATATATTAATAAGTTGGGTTGTTCCTATTTTTCTTTTGAGTTGATTTTGTGAGTTTAATCTTATACTTAAAAACACATGCAAACTAAAAGGTTGTATTTATTCAGCAAGAGAAAAAAAAAAAAAAAAGTTGTATTTGGGATGTTCTATGGTTCCTCCACGCATGCACTAACCAATGAACATTTTGTGGACGTTTGGTTGATGAATTCAGAATTATGATTCAGAATTATTCTCGATTTACGTATATTTTTTTGTGAGAGATAATACTGTAGTGAACCACAAATCATGATTCGAATCATGACACGAATCTAACAACTAAACAACTCCTTTATTTTCTTTGCTTTTATATTTCAAAGTACTTCGTAACACAGATTTTCTTTAACTCCTTGTTTTGTTGTCTCATTAGTACTCGTTAACTTCTTCACTTTCTCACTCCTTCCCTCCATGGAAGGAGAATCTACCATCTTCGATAGTCATGAAGCTGATGATCAAGACAAATTCCTTATAATTTTCTAGGGCATCATCAGCAGCCAGTGCATGCCTGTCTTCAAATTCAACTACAAATCAAAAAAATTCATGAGGTATATGATATATTAACTTTTTATTATAACAATATTTATGCTCACATTTATTGTTTATTTATTTGTTTGCTTATGTATCCTCGTATGCATTTATCTCTCCTCTTTCTTTGACTACAAGTTTTAAGTGTACCACGCCTTTTTCCGCTTTTGAGAGAAGTTGATTAGCTTGTTGACGTAGTTGTTTAATCCTTTACTTTGGTTGTTGTCGTTTCGACCATGCTACTGTCGTTTATAGTAATTTGTCAGCCATTTACTTATTGTCGTTTTCTTTTGTTTAGTCGAGTTCTAAAACGCCTGTCGTTTTTTAGTTTTGGTTTTGGTACAAAACTAGTGGGTTCGGATCGGATAAACTAGATTTAAAACCTAAGCAATTTTCTATTTTCTATTTTCTATTTCCATTACTCTATATTTTAAGGCTGCATAACTCACTCTTTGACATCCTTGCTTGTTTTTGGTTTTCCTCTTTTTTTCATCTTTTTTGTTTTTTTGTTTTTTTTTTTTTTTTTGCAATAACACTTGTTTTTGTTTTTCCTCATAGGCTGAAATTTCTTCAGAGCTAGATTTTCTTATCTTGGGATCTAATAGATTTTTTGGTCCAATAAATAATCCCAAAGTAAGACTTCCTTTTCAGAAGCTCTGAGAATCACAGACCTTTTCAACAATGCATTCACGGTCTTTTGCCAACAAAGTATATTTTGAGAATTTTGTGGCCATGATGGATTGCTCTGTGATGCTCGTGATGAAAGGCTTTAGGATTCAACTACCAAAAATCCTAGCTACCTTGACTACCATTGTTTTCTCAGTTGACAATTTTGAAGGAGAGATTCACAAAAGCTATCACTTAAGACGTTTATTTCCTATATTCGTCATTGATTCTGAATAATAATTTATGATTCTCTATAGTATTTTCTCTCAAAAAAATACACGTAAAACGAAAATGATTCTGAATACATAAACCAAACGTCATCAAAGATCTCAATTTTTCTCATTAAAAAAAAAAAAAAAAAAAAAAAAAAAAAAAAAAAATTTTTTCTAGTTGATTTTATTCTGATATTACTGCAAAATTTGTCCAACTTGGAAGGGTTAGACCTCTCTTCGAACACATTGCTTGGAAGGATTACATATGAACTGGTCACAATTAGTTCGTTACAACTTAAATTCAACTGTGAGTTTCAACCAATGTTAAGACATACTGTAAGTGATCTTAAAGCTTTTTGGTAGGAAAGAAAAAGAGAAAAAAAAAATGATCTTAAAGCTTCACATTCAATTTTTTCAGCGTGCAGACATCAATTTATTCAGTGATCTTAAAGATTTTTCAAAAATATCAATTTATTCAGTGATCTTAAAGATTTTTCGGATAGTACAGACTTGGATGTTAGGAAACATTAGGTGCTAGTGCAATATAAGAGCAATATTGCTCTTTAGTATTGTTAATACCGTTAAGCTTAAGCATGCAATATTCATGCCGTCTTCACCAACACTTTTTCAGCAATCTGGTATTTTCACAAAATTGATTGATAATATAAATATGCAGGAAAATTCATAATTTTGTCTTTGGTTTGTAGATCACGTGAGTTGTATTTCAAACGTACACCATTCTTTTCTCTTTTGCTTTTACTATTCGGCACTATTATTTCTTTTTTGGCTTCATGCAACGACTGCCCAAAAGGACAAATTAATCAAACTACCAACAAAGCATTCAATGATCAGTGTTAGCGGTGGTAGACATCTCCTCCATTTTTTCCCCCAACTCACCAGAAAAGCTTTTATTCCCTTGTATTATGTATAGTTATATGAATTATCTAGTTTTGATATCTTCCTCTCTGGGGTGTTCTCATTCTGAGATTATTCGATTCTCATTTTTTTGACCAATCTGATCAAGCTTGTATTTCTAATTGCAAATGCCATGTAACTTATTCTTTGTTAAATGCATGGCAATGAGTGAGAGAAACATGATTCTTTATGTTTGCTCCCTAATTAAGCAGGTCAGCAGTCGATCCTTAGATCTTCAGGCCACCCAAACTCTTCTAACAGTGCCAGTACTACTCCATTTGACCACCCAAAACCAGTCTGCATTTCAAAATTTCCAGACTTAATTAGTATTTAAAAAATTAAAATATAGAAAAAAGAAAAAACCAACAACAACTTGTCAATTCTTTTCTTTTTTTTTTTTTTTTTTTTGGGTGTGTGTGTGAGGGGGACGAGGAACTTAGAAAGGGTCATTTTTAATTATATTCCAAGAAAAGCATTAAGATAGAGTGAGACCTGAGGCACATATTCACCACCGCCTCCAAAGTATCCACACTTTTCCACATTGTATTTCTCATGCATGTTTCCTGTCTTCTTGTAACAAACATAGTTGGTTCTGATCCACCTCACAGCAATCTCCTCTGCCAGTAATCTTGCTTCTTTTACTCCAGATTTTACCAAACCTTCTATGATCATGTGTTGAATTGGAGCCCAACCATTTGGAAAGTCCCTGTGTTCACAACTAATATTAAGTGAAATACAATTTAAGAAATGTTGTTCTAGGCAAATTTTTTGTCTCCTTTTCCTGCAAAGAAGCTATATAACGTTGTTCCAGACCCTTCCCTTAATAAGGGTGGTACACTTGTTTCGACATTGTGAACTGCTCACTCACCATTGTTGTCTGGAATTTGTGAGAGATGTTGCGATACCGGCATCCCGAACCAGACCTGATCTTTGAAGACTTCTCGCAACTTTTCGCACCAGAGGAGCATCTACATGTCGGACAAATGATCAAATCATTCTGAGTGCATTAAATCATGAAATGAAAGGTATTCATTTGATGTGTTTTAAAGCAGTATGCAGAGAAAGGTATCTCAAGAATCATAGGCTCTAATTTTAGCTAAAGCCACATAAACTTATTCATAGGTGCTTCATAGTATATTCATCAGAAGCTGCACTAAGTTCTATATTTTAACCATAACTTTTAAGGCCTTTCCATCTTTAACTGGAAATTCAAGTTAAGCAGTAAGTTGCCTCAACTAAGCTGTAAAATAATTCATGCTTTTACCCGTAGAGGATACGAAAACATAATCACAAACCTGAATGGAATGACTCAATCCATAAAGGAATGAAGTTTGAAGCAAATGTTTTCTCATTCTGGTTCCAAGCTTTCCATTTTTGAACACCCTAAGTGTCAAAATAAAAAATAAAAAAATAAAAAATTACAAAATGTAGATGACTGTCATATAACACTGAGTAAGAAGAAATGCTAAAACTAGTAAACAATACCTTGCATTTTCTATTGCTTAGCCAGTAATCAAGCCATTGACCCGTCTTCGCGTTCCAGAAAACAGATTCCATTGCCTTCTTTCTTGCGCGTGAAGCTTTCTCGAAGCGGTGAGAGATGCAGGAATCTCCTGTAACTTTTGCCAATAAGGCAATATCCAGTTCCATCTGAATCAACAAATGTAGATATTGTCACATTACTGGCTTAAATGATCTCGAGGCTTCTTCCATAAAGAGCTCTGAGGAATACCCCAAGTATGAATGCATTTAAGTCAACCGGTAAGATTGATGTTGTAGCCAATGTTGTAAAATTAGAAGGATTTCTGCAAAAGGAAACGGAATCCTAATGATCACCCACTACAGTAAAAACTTCACCAAATCAATCTGAATATTCCAAGTTTGTTATTTTTCGGTTAATCATGCACACTGTCCCAATTTGACCCCCAAATCTTAAAACATTATACATCGCATCTTAATCTAACAAAAAGTCTCAATTTTTCCCTTTTAGTCACTGAGTTATTAAAAACTCAATGGAAAAAAACCACGTGACTTTCACATGCCTGGTTGATGAAGGGTACTTAAGAGATATCATGCCTAAATAAAATTAAAAAAAAAAAAAAAAGTTCCCTCCCTACACAAGCTCATGGGCTACCCTGCATGAGACGTGAAGGCTTAATTTATTTAAATTTTTATTTTGTTGGTGTAATTTGTTTAACCTTCATTAACTCATCAATGTAAAGGCCATATGGTTGATTTATTGAGTTTTTAACGATTTTGTGACAGGGGGGCCATAAGTGAGACTTTTTTGATAGATGAAGGTGGCATTTGTGATGTTTTCAAATACAGGCCAAAATGGGACAAAGAGCATAACTCAGGACCAAATTGAAATTAACCCTTTTTTTCATCTTTTCCATGGACAACATTTGAAACAAATTAAATAGGAAACGAAGCAAAAAATAATAATAATAATAACACTTGATTATACTAAAAACAATACTTACCCCATCCATCTTGTACTAAAATCCCATCCAGACTCAGCAGTTGAGGCGACCTCGTGGTAAAACTGCTGTTTCTCTGAAAAACTTGTGATATTTGAAGCAAATTCCTTGTCCTGAGAGCCAGGATGAATTTATATATTATTATGCTAACTTATTCCACCATTTAATTATACAAAAGAAGTTATATGCTAACTAAGCTGCAGAGGACATACCATGGTAAAAGATTCAGGCCTGGGCTTATTCCACATTGCATAATATCTTGTTAAAGTATGATTGAGACCTTTAGCATCCTGAACTGTCACTTTATGTATTCCTACGTCAACAAAATAGATAAAAATTCAGCAGTAATTTAGACCAACTTAAGTAAAGCAAAGAAGGATGTGCAGACATAAATATGTTCTGAAAAGAAAATTAAAGGAGAAATTATCTCTTAAATCATACTACCGGAATTCCAAAACTTGTGTTCTTTGATTAGTGGCGGGAGAGACTTTCTGGCAAATTCCAAATCTCCGGTCCTCTTGTATATTTCGTGAACCATTGCGCTAAGGAGTGGAGGCTGGCTGCAAAAATTGCCCCAAGCTTATATTTTGAGTTAGTTTAAAATGAAATTATTACTTTGATTATAAAATAATAAAATAATAAAATAATAAAAAAAAAACTAATAACAACTATGGATGAAGTGATTTTGGAAAAAGAATGAAGCGTTACCTCCTATTAGTGTAATATGCCCTTGCACCATTGAGGACGTGACCATATTTTTCTATTAAAGAAATGAGATTAGTCACAATTGCTTTTGCTGTGTCATACATTTTACTAGTTAGTAATCCCCTACACAAAAACACACACAAAAAAAGGGTCACAAAAGACGCTTTGTGTTGATTACTGAAATATAGTAATTCCTTCTAGTCTTTTGGAAACTTATTTATTTATGAGCTTCAAACAAATGTAGAAAAGACAGACTAGAAACCTTGCTAGTATCTTAAAGAAGCTAATATATTTTCTTTAAGCAAATCCAAAACCTTCTGTACCACGCAAGGATGAAAACATCCTCAATATTTCCATAAAATGACCATACGGACATATTTCTTACTGAATTTTATTTCTCAATATTTTTTATAGATGCATCAAAATATCCTTAAATCTAAAGTATCGATGTTCACATAAATACCGTATTTTTATCCTTGACACCACATAATTTAGCTCTGCTCCATTAAAAAAAAAATGTTGTATATCAAGTCTAAGAAAACGTATGATTTGCAGGGCTTGGGCAATTCTAAAACTAAATCGGAGACTTCTGTGTCAGGTGCTACTTATTAATTATGCACGTTTTCTAAACATCAAATTATAAGTGTGTGTGTGCGTGTGTGTGTGTGTGTGTGTGTGTGTATAATCACAGAATATATAAATTTAACAGTTCAAAGATAATAAAATAATAAATGATTTGCATTAAAAGTAAATAAGAGAAACACACTAACCTGATCACCCAATAAGAATCCCAATAATAGACCTCCCTAAACCTCGAACCTGGAATAATGACATGGTGAGGAAGAGGAAGCAGAGTATGCAACTCAGGATTCTTCAAAACCTCATCAGAAACTTTTCTGCTCAAATTCTTCCAAAGAGAATGAACCTCCAAAGCCCAATTCCTCACTTGTTCATTCTTCACCTTTGGAAGAAACCCCTCTGGCTCAGGGACAAAATCCTCTGGCTTGACGTACACCAAATCCTCCCCTGCACCCTCAAAGTATTCCCTCAAAAACTCTCTCAAATCCTCAGCAGAAACCGACCCATTTGAGTACCTGTGAAGCTCATCAAAAGCTCTGTCGGTGGTGGATAAATCGAGTTTCAGTGACAAGTCCACGTAGAGCTTTGGGTCGAAGTCTGATTTTCCGAAGGAGAAAAGTGCGGTTTCTTGGACATTTTCCAGGAAAGTGAGTAATGGGGTCGTGGGGTAAACTGGTCCTGATGAGTTTGGAGAGCATTTTGGTGGGGAAGTTTGTGAGAGAGAAAAGACTTGTGTTAGTGAGAAGAGAAGAAGTAGAAGAGGGAAGAATGGAGTGAAGTGGAAGGGCTTGTTCATAATCATTTGTTGGGATTAAGGGTAAAACTGAAAAGAAATGATTGGTGAGTGGTTATAGGAAGATGACGAGACGAGGAAGCGGAAAACAATGGTGCCAAAATGGAGTAGAAGTGATGAGAAAGGCAAAGAATAAGAAGTGAGAGCCGGCAAAGGGAATCAAATCAATTATTTTGACCATTAAGGAAAAAAAAAAAACAAAAACAAAAACAAAAAAAACAATTATTTT